CAGGCACGGCAGCGCCGGACGGGGCCTTCGTCAGCACGGTCGCGGCAATGACGTCATCCCGGGGACGGGGCCGCACGTTTTCCGGTGCGGACTGAGAAACACCGCCCCGTCTTCCGGTGCGACCTAAGGCGCCACGGCGGCCGCGGGCAGAAGGGTCGTGGCCGTGGTGCCGTCGCTATGACCCGCCAAGCGCCCAGCCGCCGCGGCCGGCCAGTCGGGGGTCTCCGCCCTCCCGGGCCCCCAGTTCTTTTCCCGGCTGCAGCCGCCAGGGCGTACTGCGCACGCGACCGCACGTGGCCTCGGGCAGGCCTCAGCTGGGAGCGCTCGCACCTTCCGCCGCCCCTCACGCCTCGGCCGCTGGGGGTCCCCGCGGCCGACCCGCCGTGCGCTCCTGGAACTCCTCCCAGCGAGAAGCTTCCGACTTGAGGCAGCGCCGCGCCGATTGTCGTTCACCAGGGATGCAGTGACCTGTCCCAGCCCTCTAGAGGCTCAAAGTATAGACCACCTTAAACTCCGGCCACAGGGCCCAGTGAGGACAAAGCGATCACGGGCACTTTAGAGGTGTGGACAGGGCCGGCCGGGCAAATCATCGATGAGCCTTGATAAAATGAGCGAAGCCTTCCGGTGCCCGTGACCCCGTACATGTGAAGGCCCTGAGCCGAGTGTGTAAACAGCCTGTGACCAGAGTACGAGCTAGCACGAAAACGGGGACGGGGGGGATCATGGAAGGCCCGGGCGGAATTTAAATCCTGGCTGCCATGCAGAAACTGCCACGGGGGCACTAGAAACGGAGACCTAAAGACCACTGTAGTGGCCTCTTCCGGAATGGTAGCGACCATGGCCATGACTGGCCCGATGGACTCTCACAGGGAAGGACCGCCCTGAGCAGCCGCGCCCATAGGACGCAGCTGATGGGTAGCTGAAGCTGCCTTGTAAAGTCGCCACACCAAAGTCGAGATGCTGAGTATGGGCTTGGAGTTTGGGAAGTCTGGACCCTAAAAACACTAAGGACTGATGGAAACTGACCGTTTTCAAAACGGGACTAGACAAGATGAAATAAGGAAGGGTACAGCCAGAGAGGAAGTCTGGCCGCCAAGGACTGGAGGAAACACTCGGGGCAACTGCCAGTACATCAGCCCGCCACACCAAAGTCGAGATGCTGAGTATGGGCTTGGAAAATGGGACTAGAGAAGATGAAATAAGGAAGGGTACAGCCAGAGAGGAAGTCTGGCCGCCAAGGACTGGAGGAAACACTCGGGGCAACTGCCAGTACATCAGCCTCTGGAACCTACTGGCCATTCCTCCACCACCGTGTTTGCTTCGCAGGTGCTTCTCATCTGAGCTGTTCTGCTCCTGGAAGTCCCCCTGTCTCCTAGCCCACACATTTTGTTCTCCACAATGTTGATTGCTCTTCACCTGAGGTTTTGGCTGACCCTGCCACAGGGTGGTTAAACGCAGAGTATAAAAAGGTGGATTCCACTTGGACAATGAAGGTTCAAATCCTGACCCCGGAAGCTTGAGAAAACCATGCGGGGTGTGTGTGTGTACAAGCACGCTTAGATGTGTTTCCCCAAATCCTGGGAGATGGACAAACGAAAGAAAACAGACTACAGTGTGACCATGGGGGTGGGGGTGGGGTTTCTGATATGTACCTGTCCTCTGGCAATAAAAAATGTTTATAGGCAATTAAGTGACCCACCACTCCCACCAAACCAATACACATTCAGCTTAAAAACTGTCAAGTTTCCAACTGTTCTTAAAAGGCAAAACTTAATAGGCACATACACTACAAAGCTTAGTACTCCTTGCCTATTTCTCCACTCACGTGGTTTACTCCTAACTCAAGTGTTAGCAAGTATCTCTCAACAGTATCTAAACCATATCATTTTGACCAAGTCACAACCTATCATACCAGTTAAGGCCCTCATCTACCTACCCATTGCCCACAATGCTCCAATATGGTATTTCTAACACATCTGTCACATCAGTGTCTGACTAGGCAGTTCAATACAAGCAAGAAACACAGTGAACATCTTGTCATCACTGAAACTCCTAGTACTTGGGAAGCCTCTCCATTTGCTGAATAAAACCTTAGGTCAGTGGCATACAGTGGCCCCTTACATAAGTGCAATGCTCAGGGAAAGTCAGCACTTTGAACAAATAATGGTCAAATCTTACACTTTCTAGGGTCCAGAACCCCCAAACTCTGCTTGCATCAGATCCGATACCAAGCGCTTGTCCTTCACTGACTAGAAAACTAGACTACCAGGCAGATTTCCCTAGGCTTCATCTCCTGAGCTCCAGTTCTTCACTTCCAGCTTTACTGGATGTTATTTACAACTGAAACGTAATGATGGAGGATGGTAAGAAAGCAGGCTTTCATAAAACTTAGTGAAACTTAAAACATTCACTACTCCTTGCAGTATTTGTGTAGAATTCAAAAAGGGAAAATATAGAGAGGAACCTTTGCCATTTATACTTTCCTGAGGGTCCTTCCTCCCCATTCATTCTGTAAAAGGGACAGGCTCAATCAAGGGCAATACTGATTCTCTGAAATACCAACTTACCGAAAACAGAACATAGAGCGCTTAATGAAGACCCTCATGGGATGCATACGCAGGAGCTTAAGGAGAAATGAAGGGTCTACCTTTATCCCATTATCCATAGGAAATAAACTATTCAAGTTTCCTAAAATGTTTAGGAAGTCAGCTGCTTGACTGCCTTCCACATTGTATGAAGAGGCCAATGAGCCTTCTGAGCACACACACCCTGTGTCTCCTACAGGTGGAAAGTCTGCCACCAAGCAGAGCTGCATGTAGAAGCCAAAAGAACCGCAGAAGCTAACTGATTAAAACCACTTAAAGGGTACTTGTTTTAATATCAAGATACAGTGATTGCAAAAACTTCCATTGTCATAAAGAGCAGGATCTGAAAATAAAATTGCCCTAATCAAGGTAATCAATGACATTCTACCTTTCCTAAAGCTTTATAAAAGAAGTTGCATTGTCTACATGAGATGACTGACAGTGTGACTGTACAGAGTATTTTATATGTGGTTCTGCTACACCAAGAAGCTACAGTGATGTATGCGACAGTCATTGCCTTGCAACGCCACTAAAATATGCAGCTGACCAAACAAAAGGCTTTTTGCAGCTAGGACAAGCGTTCACATATTACACAGAATACTTAGTACCATGAGATTTAGATCTTAATGGGAATTGTGGAAAAGTTCTCTGTCCCCTAATCACTCCTTTAAAAACTGGGTCCAAATTGAGACACAAAAGGTTTACATTTAAACTGTGATGGCAAAATGTCCCCCCCCCCTTAAAAAAAGGATAGTATTTTGAAAAGAACAACTTTATAAAAATCATACAGAGAAATAAGCAAACTATGAACTTTTACACACTCGCATCTGCCCTAATGCATAGATTACACACCTAGAGGGGCACTTCTTCCCCAGCCCCTCAGAACTGACTCAGATCACTGTTGAAAGAAATCATTTACTTCCATTTTGATTTTAAAAGTTATTTCCTACACAGATATAGCTTGATATAAGACTGCAAGCACACATCATATCTAGGGACCACCCAGTAACCCCCAGTATTTTATCCGTCCCCTGAAACACAGGGGAACATATGGTTGTGGTACATCCCGGCAGATGTCACTCACAGCACACAAGGGGAGGTGCTAGCAAACGCTCCTTTGCAAGGGAGAGAGAACCCTTCCAATACGATGTACCACAACCACACATGAGAAAATCCAGAACTTACTTTATTTTATTTTAAAATAAACAATGAAGAGTCCCCCACTTCCCACCACCCTACAAAACTTTTGAATGTGGAATGTTCGACAGCCTATTCATTTTTAGTAGGTTACAAAACCAGCAAGAACTCCAGTTGTCTAATGATGAATGTTTTGAGAATCATTTGTTTTTAAGTAGCTGAGCACCTATTGGAAAAATTCCTTAGCTAAAGGCTGAAAATAAATTTTCATTTTTGCACAGAAAATACGATTAACTTAGTAGCCTTTGCTTAACAGGTGGGATTATAATTCTCCATGAAATCCAAGTGGAATGGGACGACAGGGGCATTAAGTCCATAGGCACACAGAACTAGTGCTCCGACTGCTAGCGTGAACTGCAACACCGCACACGAGGCTAGTCACTACCGACTGTCCATCTCCATCAAATCTGAGACTCTCCCTCTGCATCCAAGAGGAGAATCCACTGCAAACATCGGGCTTCCACGGGAAAAGGAGAACTCCCTTAGAGTTAAGTAAGACAGTGCAAGTACTACAGAAGGAGCTGCTGGAGCCATGAATTGGTGACACTAACAGTGCAGGGACTGACTCACGTAAGCTGCTAGCTGTTGAACACCAGTGTTTCCAGATACAACTTTTATAAACAAGTTTTATTTGTATTGTTTATACCATCCGAACTGAAACTACTGACTGTCATTTCCCTAAAACAGGGAAATCAATCTAAAACACATACTGGTGCTTTTCAAAAGATAGCAATTTAAAAGGGTGGTAGCAGCAGGCATTTGAAGTCTTTTTCTCTTAAAAACGTTCAAGCTGCAGGAAAAAACATGAGACCAAGAGTGTTATGATTATCATTAGAGAGATTTTCATCAGTACCTGTACCAATTTAGGTGACAACACAGCAGGATCCAAGGATTAGTGACAACGTACATGTCATAAGGAATGATATATAGTACCAATCCTTACAAAAGTCATTGTCTCAAAGCAACTGTTAAGTGTTCAAGAAGGTATCTAAATACTTCACATTAAGTACAAGCGGCCATCCAGATTACATCTCTCATTTGTTGCATGTTTTTCAAAAATTGCCAATCAAAGCCTAATTTTGCATCACGGCTTTCGTACAGAGTATCAGCTGTTAAGAAGCATTTTACATATGTTTTGAACCACAGTCTTTTGACCAGATGAGTCGCCTGTGTAAAAGCTGGCAGGCAGCCTTACAGTGAGATCAGGGCCATGCAGAGTCTGGTATGCATCTGAATGCTCAGTGTCCCCGCGCACTGTGAAGGGCAGCTATTCTGCCAAACCACACTCCACCCCCTCCACGTCCTTTCAAGAGAAATATCTTAGTTTTGTCAATTACCACTGAGTGACTCTAGAGTCGATTTGTAGATTTTATCCAATGTCAACAGTCAAACTTGCTTTTTCAAGCCCCTTCAAATAACTACGGAGATATTATCACCCTGTAAAGTGTATTACGTTTTACTCCTAAGCAAGGGTGAGGATTCTGAGTATCATGTGCAAGGCTCGAGGTGGCGCTTAGGACAGAACATGCAGAGTAAAAATAGTTTCCTTTCGTATCCAGGGAATATAAAGCTGACAACTGTAGTCCTGTCTTTATGGGATGAAAACAGTCCCTTTACAATAAGTTTCCTGAAAGGGAGAACAAATAGATAATAACTCTTCTGGTAACATATTATGGTACACTGGCCAGTGTGTTTTTGGCGATTAAACATAATCCTGTGACTCAGATTAATTTACTTGCTGAGTGTTCATTTGCGGCATCCCTCTGTTGGGTCTTGGGGGCCCTCCACGACCTAGAAGACAAAAATGGCATTTGATTTTTCTTTCAAATATTATTTGTTTTGCCTTCAAGCAGATTTTCATCTGAAGTCAAGAAGCATGTGGGCAGCTTGTCACCAAACTAGGTTTAAGAGGTTAATTCTTCCACGTTCAGTTCCGCCTGTCCTGGACGCTGCCATGAGCAAATCTGCTCATGTCCTCTAAGCTAGAAAACGGGTAGACCTAATGGAGTATTCCACCAGTACTCATTCATTCATTCATTCAACAATATTTATTGAGTGCCTACTAAGTGACAGGCACATCACCAGGCGCCGGGAACAGATACAGCAGTGAAGACAGACAAGGTACCTGCTCTTGTGGAGCTTACATTCTAGGGTACACTCTGGCTTACATTTCAGTGGTAAGTAACATCATACTATCAAAATGAATAAAAGCACCAGAATGAAAACAGACCTTATTACCTAAACTGTTAAAAAGAAACTACATAACATTCAAAATTGTATATTGATTTATAACAGATAATAAAATAACTTTTCACATGCTGTTAGAACAGATTTTTAACTACCAGTTAACTCAACTTCCACAGAATATGCTACAAGGTGGGAAGAGGAACATAACCCACGTTCACATGCACATGTCTTTTGATATTTCTAGTCAAGTCAGCAAATTCCGAAGTGATCCATTAATTTTAAAAAGTCAAAAACAAAAACAAACCAAAAAAGAAGCACTTTTTGGTTGGCTGGCCAGTTTCTACTAGCATTCAAATCGAAGTACTCAGTACCACTCCTCACCACACATTTCATACATGTATGGCCCGTGAGAGGAAACCTATTTGATGCTTACCCCCCTCGATTCAGAGAACCATTTAGAACTTCCAAAGTATATAAAATGCGAGCTCTAACTGTTAACTAGATTAACATCTTGACCAAATGGGGAGTAGTTTTTCAACAGTAAAAGACAGACACAACAAAAACTCTTAAAACCTATCATCTTTAAGTATACTTAAATAAGTTAGGAATTTAGGGGCTTTGTTTAAAAGTCAGAAATAATTTAAGATGTCTATCACCAACAGTGGTCCGAAAGGCACTGTCATTTCAGTTAGTTCTAACATTTCTAAATAGTTCTCTAAATTCAACTACAGCTTATCTGGCCACTGAAGGGTTTCAGGTCCTAAAATATAATATGCATGTTTCAAAAATGAAAGGAGAATAATAAATTTATATAAATGTTCAATCTCATTCCAAAAAGGTCTTACAAAAATGTTTCAGTACTTCCTAAAAACATTTAGCAGGTTGTAGGACCTAAAAAATAATTTTCAGGTGGAAAAGCACTTTTTCTGAGGAGGAGAAAAGGTCCTGGTTTTAGAGACAGCCTATATACTAACAGGGATAATCATTCAAAAACTAAAATTTGGGTTCGAGATTCAGTTTTCGAAATGGAGCATCTCTGAATCCCTAGTGACAGCTCCGGAAAGGATAAACAGACCCCTGGCACGTAACCTACATGCAGACTGTGAACAGCTCGTCCAGGCCAGCACACAAGCCCCACGCAGGAGCTAGGTCACCACCACAGAATATTACCTCGTGGGGCTGCCCGAGGTCCACTCTGCCCAGAGCCACGCTTGAAATTCTGCTGGTACCCGTCCTACAAGACAAGCCGGTTAGTCCAGAAAACACACACTGTCCCAAATGCTGATTAGTAACCCACCCACCTTGATTTCCACCACCTAACACCTGCAGAATACAGAACACCTCCCCCTTTCCTTAGCTGGTTCAGTAACCACAACTCCAAAGTTACTCTGTAAACTGTTACACTTCTATCATTCTCCAGGACATTCAATGCGAACGATTTCTCTGCTGATGAAAACCATTCGCTTTTAACAGGTTTTATTAAATGAGTACCTACACGGACTGCTAACAAAAACAAGTCTTATCTTAGACACCAAAAAAACAGCCCCAAACTACATTACTGAGATTCACCAAAGCAACTCCTTCAGTCCCTTCCAGTGACGCATTCAGGTCTGTCTTTTAAACGGCTTCACCTACCCGCTGATAGCCAGAGTAGTCCCGGGGAGCAGTGAACTGAGACTGTGTATAGCCACTGTTCGGAGTGTTCGAGAATGAAGGGCGGTAACCGTCATATCCTCCTAAAACACAACATAGGACAACAAAGTAAGTGATTGTCTTCCTGTCACAAGGAATATTCACCTTATTAAAAAATGATTAACCGTTTAGTTATTCAAACTAATATTCACCTTATTAAAAAATGATTAACCGTTTAGTTATTCAAACTAATTCCCTAAGTTTCTGAAAGTACTAACTGCCCCAGAGGACGAAATCCTCCCCCGTGTACATATGCACACACATGTATATACACACGAGCACAAAACGACCCCTAGAAAACCTGGTCATGTACACAGAACAATGATCTCCCAAAAGACAGTGGTAGACACTGATTTCACACACACAGTATTGGTTATCAATTATCAATTTCATCCTTCAAATAAGTGTAACAAAACATACTTAGAACACTAAACTTATAAGATCTTTCACAAAAAACATGTATTTGTATATGATTTACAAATCAGAGAAGAACCAGAATTCATTTTATCTTCACCTCTGAAGCCATTAGCGGGACCCCGGTACCCATTCATCAAGCCTCTAGTACCACGGGAGCCTCCGCGGGACACGCCACGGCTATTGTAATAGGGCTGACTGCTCCGTGGGAACCCCGTGGTCTGCGGAGGCGGCTGCTGGTGGTTTCCAGTCACTTGATGGGGCTGATCCTGGGAACCATGGTACGTGCCAACCACTGCAACCAAAAAGGAAAATGAAGTGTGAATTTGTACGTGCACGACACACCCCGTTAACTGTTTCTTCTCGCACATGCTTTCTGGTTAGTGTCTTTGCCACCTGGTCATCTTAAGTTTTTGTCTTTAAATAACCTACACATAGATTAAGCTACAGGGGGGCAAAAAGTAATATCCCTTTAGAGAAAGAAAAAAAGCTAGAGATCTTTGCCAGATCCCAAAGAGATACAGTTCAAATCAAAACCCAGGTTGTGGGCAAACCAGCAGTTAGCGTAATGGCTATGTCGCTGGACTCCCACGTAGTCGACCGCAGTTCGCGTCCCGGACCTGGTAGCTTAAAACTCACGCCGGGCGCGTGTGCGTGCGTGCGTGCCCAAGATCTAGAGAGGAGAATGTAGAAGGGATTGCGGCGTGACCATCCCCCCTGGGGGGTGATTTCTGGCTTTCTGTCTCTGTCTGTTTGGCGAATGCACGCGCCGGGGGAAGGCACGCCCCCTATAGCGAAAAAAAAAAAAAAAAAAAAAAAACCCAGGTTGTGGACCAGCAGTTAGTGTAATGGCTATGTTGCTGGACTCCCACGTAGTCGACCGCGGTTCGTGTCCCGGACCCGGTGGCTTAAAACTCACGATGGGCGCGTGTGCACCCAAGATCCTGAGAGGAGAATGGAGAACGGATTGTGGCCTGGTCATCCCTCCAGGGGGGTGATTTCTCGTTTTCTGTCTGTCTGTGTCTGTCAAGCGCATGCGCCCTATAGTGAAAAAAAAAACCTCTCCAAAACAAAACAAACAAACAAAAAAACCCAGGTTGTGAGCAGTGTGACACTGACTGGTCAACAGTCCAGAGGACCATCACATGAGGCACTGTGGTAGAGAGGAGGGCCATGCCTGTTAGAGCAGTTCTTCCCGGATAGAATTCGTCCTCACAGAGACAGGAAGTGAGCGACAAAGTGAGAGCAGCAGGCCGCGAGCAAGTCACCCAGCAAGCTGGCTGTCCTCGGCAGGTACTCTGAGAGGGGGGCTCTGTGAAGTGACACTTGAGCATGACCATGGAACAGGACGAGCAGCCAGCTCTGCAGAACGACGTTGAGAGCCCCGTCTCCCCGGCAGTCTAGAAAGCCGTCTAGAAACCGGGAGTGAGTGTGCAACAGAAGGCACACTGCGGGCCTGAAGAGCAAGTCACACACAGTTCAGGACACCAGGCTGGCTATTTGATCTGTCAATTACAAGTTGGGTTTTTTATATAGAAGCAGCCAGGCATGCTAATATGAATGAAAACTGTTTCTGGCCAAAAGGAAGTACATGTGAAGGCCCAAGGAGGAGTGGACCTGCTGAGTGTTTGACTGCTGTGGGCACACGTGAAGAAAATGGCGAGATGCACAATGCGACACGGGCAGGGACAGGTCACGCAGGAGCGACAGGACGCCGGGCCAGTGCTGCCCTGAGGTCCATCAGCAACCACGGGCTGTGAGGTGGGGGCAGAGTGCACGGTAAAGAGAGCACAGGAGGCTAGTCAGGAAACGGCTGGCGAGGCCAGGCCGGAGGGCAGTACCAGGGGTGCAGAAGGCAGTGTGCACAGGCTGGTTTCAGTTTTATTAGCGTATCTGTCAATGGGCTCGGCCCAAGTGGCCTGGTGGCTAAGGCGACAGGACCCACATGGAGTATTGTGGTCTGAGTTCTGGCACACCAAAAGATACGAGCCTGTGCATGTTCCCAGAGGAGACTGGAGGGAGAAGGGCCTGTAGCAGGACCATCTCCCCCAGGGGTGCTCTTTCTTTCTCTCTGAGTATGTTGCAAAGTGAATTACTGTAGTCAACGTGCATTTTGAAATGGTAGCAAAACATCACGGAGCTCAGGTTCCTCATAATTGAAGTTAAGAAAGAGGACAATCGCAAAAACAACTGGCACAAAGAGCAACATTAAGTCAAGTAACACTCCCACAGTCAACTGCAATTCCGAGGACCAGACCCGGCACCGTAAAGCTCACACCGGGTGAGTGTGTGTGCATGCCCAAGAGCCCAAGAGGGACATGGAGAAGGGACTGTGGTGTGGCCACCCCCCTGGGGGGTGATTTCCTGCTTTCTATCTCTCTCTGGCAAGCACATGTGCCCTACAGCAAAAATCTCTCTCAAGAAAAAGTATACCACTAAAAAATTCTTTAACAAGTCTGTCACGAAATTGAATAATTTTTAAAACTTCAGTTTTTAAAAATCAACCAGATAAAATTACTTACTCCTATAAATGTATCCAGATTTGCTAGTTGGTTGGGGGATTCGGTCTGAATTCCTAAGAATCAAATAACTAACAATCTAAAGAAGCTACTTCTTCTCTTACAAATTGAAGAAATCAAAAATACCTCTACCTACATTACTGTAAGAGGGATGATCACTTGTTAAAATTATGATGCTACTTACTATAAAGGATTCTGTTTCAACCCAGTCCACCAAATGCAGCCACCATGATGTGACATTTCTGAACAAGTTTTATTAACAGCACACTAAGAACCAAGCCAACTCCTAGCGCTTCTCAACACTGGATAACTGACTTCTGGCCAAGCACCATGCTCACAGACTTATACGAGTAAAGTTTATCACAATTCAAAAAACTGTCATTCCAGTAAAATTATACAAAGGGAAATGTCCTGAAAGCCCAGTGACTGCAAGAGAACAGACATAAGTTACCACCTGCCATGATTTACATAAAACAAGCGCGATCCATCCATCTGACTGAGGATCAGCAACGAAGGATTCCTGCCGCTCCGAGAGCCCACCACCAGCACCTGCCCTGGGAGGCCAAGCGGCCAGCAAAGGCCAGGTGTCCTACCTGTCTGCAGCTGCTCCTGCTGGAGCTCCGTCTGCTCGCAAAAACCTTGGTGAGGCTGGCTGGGGAAGCTCTGGTTGTAGCTGGCCTGGTACTGACTTTGCTGTTTCAAGCTCTCCGGCTCGTTAACAGGAGGGACGGGGGCATTCATGTTGAATACCTGTGAGCAACACAGTCGAGGCAAGGGCTCATTCCCTTTTGTCCACACGCTCGGCACGCTTTACCTTCCATACAGACAAGTAGCACTGAGGTATCAAATACACAGACGTCACAAACAGCCCCTCATGGGACCGAGTCCGGATACGCCATACAGCACTTACAGGGGAATACAAACGCATGCTGTGCAATGAAACGGGAACTGCAAAATCAAGACGTGCAGTTCACACCTCCAAGACGTTTCGACATCCGTCAGCACTCTTCTAAAAGGGCCACCTCCTAGAGTAAGCAACCTCTTACAGGAAGGTATCCTATGCTTTGAGTTGAACACCTAATTCATTTATTTTCACCTTTTTTATTGCCAAAGGTAGTATTTTAAGTATTTAACTATGAACTCTCCTCTGAACACTGATTTAGCTGTATCCCAGTGACTGTATTTCCATTATCATTATTTCCCAGAAATTCTCCAATTTAAAGACATTTGCTAAAGAACCAGGGTGAAGTAATCTGAAATTTACTTTGAAAAACTTAAGTAAAATACAAGAGTAAGCAAACAGAGCAAAACGTCAACAATCATGAAATACTGTACGGATGTTGTCGTAGTCTACATCTTGGTGTGTTTAAAATTTCATTAATCAAAACCAAAGGAGTGAAACTACAAAAGTAGAAACTCAGGTGTGCCACCTCTGGGAACTGGAGTAATCCGAGTGCACACTAACTCAATGTGTCCCCTCACCACGCAGGCCACAGGCCACCCCACGGCAGCGCAACGGCTCCAGCAGTGCCTCGCCCTGGCGCAAAGCACCGTCTTACCGTCTGCATGGACTGGAACGGGGCTGCGTTGACATTGATCCCACTGCTGTGCAGAGGCTTGCTCGACCCAGCCTGGAACACCTGAGGCTGAGAAGCAGCAGGGAGGGATGAGGATGCCGCGGTCTGGTCTGTATTTAAAGAGATGGTTGCCTAAACACAAAGTGAACAGACGCACTTGAGTGGTAAACTCACGGACGTTAACACACTCGACTATTTCATGAAAGCAAAACAGGTCCTAAAACGAGGCACTCTGCTAAAGATAATAAGCCTGTGTCCATCCGTGAGCAAGTGCGTCCCTGAGTGTCTGCAACCTGCTAACAGAACTTGCCTGAATCGGGTCGATGGGCTCCTTTGGGGGCCGCTGCTCTGCATGAGAAGGCGGGTACAAGGGCTGCGAGGCCGTGTAGCCCTCACTTGTCGACGAGACCAAAGGGACCTAGAAGAAAGGAATCAAGGTGTTCTGGTGGACTGTTAAAAATTAATCAACTCAAATACAGACAGGGTAAGATACAAACATACCTGTTAAAGGGGAAAGTTAAGACTATGTTTCTTCGAATTTACAGACCATAAAACCAAACGACTGCATTTTTTTTTTTTTGGAGAGGTTTTGCTATAGGGTGTGTGTGCTCTCCAGACAGAGACAGAGAGAGAGACAGAAAGTGAGAAATCACCCCCCAGGGGGGATGGCCATGCTGCAATCCCTTCTCCATTCTCCTCTCGGGATCTTGGGCACACATGCACACACGCCTGGCGTGAGTTTAAGCCACTGGGTCCGGGACTCGAACCGCGGTCGGCTACATGGGAGTCGAGTGACATAGCCATTACATCAACTGCTGGTCCCAAACGACTGCATTTTCACAGCTCAAAGTTAAATAACGGCCGAGCCCTGTGACCTAGTGGTCAAAAGCCAGAGCCCACATGGCCAATCGAGGGCCAAATCCCAGCCCACCCCAGCCCCCACAGCTTCAAAGTTGTGCCAGGGACACAGGCACGCAAGCCCCACATCCCGACGGCATGGAGAGATGGGGAGTGGACTGTGGCACGGCTGTGCTCCCCAGAGGCTGCTTTCTCTCCCTTTCCTTCTCCTCCTCTGGCAAGCACCCGTACCCTCCGGTGACTAAAAACAAAAGTTAAACTGTGGTCCAGTTACAAAATCTGCACCACACTTAGGTCTAAAACATATCTTCTGAAATCCTCCACTCAAAAAAACCTTGCCTCATTAGAAACACAAAAACGAACAAGAAAAATGTTAAGTCAACCAAAATAAATAAATAAATAAATACGAACACGAAAATAAAGGCTAATAGCTACCCACACCAATCAATTTGTAACAGAAACGCTGGACACAGATTAAATGTATATCTGACTTCTATAACTAAAACAGAGACCCAAAAAATGACCCTGAAAAATACTTCATCCTCCTTACCTGCGTAGCTTCAGGCTGGACAGGAACTTGGTTAGGTTGAGCAAGTCTAGATTCAGAATGTACTGCAAAATTAACCAAGAAGATTATTGTTATATAAAACCAAGTTTCTTAAGCAATGTCTAGACTCCTTCTGCTTAGCAGCAAAGGGCACCTGTCTATAGCCAAACCACAAGCGGACTGCGCAGTAACCATGGGAATAAGTTGGGAAGGGCAGGTAGGATCTTAGCTCCAGAGGAGCGCTGCGGTTTCCAGGCATGCACGCCTGCTCTGTGACCCCGCTGCCTGGCACTCTGTGCACACCAGGGCCAGCGGCCCCGAGCGGCAGCCCTGACGGCAGCGAGACTTCAGACAGCACTCGGTTAATACGTTAACGTTATCCACTGTCAACAGAGTTTCAAGTGTTTCCACAGGGAAGGGAACGTCCATGCAGCTTTCCACCCTCTGTTCAGTGCGACACCCGTCCTGACACCCCTGTCCCCCTCCATCCCCACGTCCTCCTCCCAGCCAAGGTCACACAATCGCACAGAACCTCAGTGGAGGGTCAGCCGGACTCAGCGCCGCCGGCCACTGTGAGCGTGCCCTGACACCGCTGCACCTGGGCACTGCGGCAGGTGTCAGAGCAGCAGTGGGCACCGACTGCCTCCTAACAGCCTCCACTCCGGCAGCAGGACTGTCACGGGCTCCCTCTCTTACCGAACCCACGGTGCCGCTAAGCCTGGCCTGACTCGGCAACTTTTTACGATGCTGAAGATTACATGCCGTAAGACATGTTACTCTACACACGGCCACTTAGTGGCAACAACATCAACATACTCTGGGGGGAAAACTCACAATTACAAATGGTCCCGGAGGGGCCAGCAGGTGGCGTGCTGGTCAAGGTGCTGGACTCCCACGGGGCCGACTGCGGTTTTTTTCCTGGACCTGGCAGCTTGGTTTCTCACTTTCCCTCCCTCCCTCTCTTTGTCCCTCTCTGGTCAAATTAAAATAAATGAAGTTAAATAAGATTAATTCTAAGAACAATCAAATGGTCCTGGAGAGAAGGCCCACTTACCGGACACTGGCTACTCAGTGCTGCTATTCCGAACAGCAGGTGAGTGGTAGGTCTGCAGTGCGGCCCTCTCGGTGCCTCTCCCCGTCCCCTTCAACAGTCCCTTATGGACTTCTGTTGTTGCATTTTTGTTTAAATAATAAATATTCAGAAAGTCTCCTAAAAAGCTGCAAGCATTCAGATGCCTCTTCTATTTTCACTCCCAGATTATTTTTGAAATGCAAAGAGTCAAGCAAGCAAAATTCTCCTTATGTAAATTAAGAACCACACAAACCAAACCTGTCTATGGTGTGAGGGGGATGGGTGAGGTCAGCATGGAACCAGAGGAGAGAGGCAAGTGAGTGAGGGATACAGGGCGCAGGGGGAGGTGAAGAGGGTGAGCGAGCGCAAGACACAGGGCACAGGGGGAGGTGAGCGAGTGCGGACCCAGGGCCTCGGGCGGGGGCAGTGCTGTTTCTCTTCATCTATGTTCCCTGATTTGTGATGGAGCCCTGTGCAGATGAGGTGGGGAGGGGATGGAGAGAGGGAGAGGACAAGGCCGAGAGAGACAGCCCTCCAACGCAGCACACACACATGGGTCCCCCGCTGCACTCCCTAGCCCGTCAGATCCAGGGCCCTGGTGGACCTCAGGCTGACAGGGCCCTGGATTCCAATCACAGCCGCCTCTGGTATGTGCCACCAGAGCCAGCACAGGTACAGCTCTGCAGCGTTAACCCTGGGTCGCGGACCACCTCGAGCTGCGTACAGCTACATGGCAATGCGGACGTAACTCTGGAACTTGTTTACAATCCACGTTACAGAAAAGCACGTCGTTCATAAGATGAAGGCACGAGATTCAAATGTTCAACAAGCATTAGAAGGGAAACCCTGTTTTTAACTGGCCCTGCCCTTTACCCTCACCGAAGGCTCTAGAAGAACTAACCTGGAGGGCAAACCAGCTGGGGCATGTCCAGGCTCTGTGTTGGGTTCATCGGCTGTGCGGACACAATGGCAGGATCCAGGGTCTGGTTTTCAAAATCCAGCATCGAATCCTACAAGGGAGCATATAATGGACATGGCGAGGGGTGAGCACGCACTCCTGCTGTCACCGTGTGACTGGCGCACCGCGTGTCCCTACGAGTGAGGGCAGGCTGGACAGGGCAAGGCGGCGAGCAGTGTGGCGCACGCACCCACCTGTATGAAGTTATAGGGCCCCTGCATCTGCGCCATCAGGTCTTGCACTCGCTGCCTCCTCACCAAGGGGTCTGCCTGGGCCCCTGGGGTCAGAGAGTGGGGCTCTGGCCCCGAAGGAGATGCCGCCTGAGGCTGCTGCTGGAGCGAGTTCACCACCTGAGGTCGGGGAGACGGAAAAGAGGCCCATTGGTCACCATCCAGGTGGGTCCCCAAATGGCAACGCCATCTAGTAAAACAGAACACGAAGCTCATGCGGTTACCCAAGTGAGAAAGCACGCCCATGAAGGATGACCACACCCCACCCCTTCTCCTCCGAGCCCCTTCTGCTCGGATTCTGGGCACACAAGCACACATGCCCCTCTATGTTTTGTCAAGACACCGTGGGGTCTTCGGGACTTGAACTGTGCAGCTGGTCACTTGGGATCCAGGTGTCTTAGCCACCATGCCACTAGACAGCCCCAAACTTGACGTTTTTCAGTTTCCTATGGGGCACACTCACTCGTGGGGAGGGGAGTGGGGGGTACAGGAATTGAACAGGGCAGGGAGGCGGCCACGCCAGTCCATCCTCCAAGCCCTCTCTGCAGATGCTCACGCGTACACACGCTGCTGGGTCCAGAACCTGAACAGTGCTTTTGGCATGTGAGATCCAGCCACTTTATCCACCCTGTACCTACTGGCCCTGTGACTTTCTGAACAGCGCCATTACTTCCAGAGTGTTGTCCATCCCACAGGATCACTACGTAGGCGTTTTAGATTTGCTTTACAGACTGCTTTCAGAGAAAGACTGCCTGGGAGTACTTCCCACGAGAACACCGAGCAGACGGCCACGCTCTCACAGCCGCCAGCAGACCTACTGATCTACTGGGTTACTGGGAAAGTCAGGATGTATTTTTCTGTTTTTCTACACAAAAATTGGTCATGATTTTTCCCAGCAGCCCATTATATCAAATACGTATCTTTCTTTCTTTCCTTCTTTTTTAAAGTTTTTACAAAAGGGTATATACACACTTACTGGAGAGCAGGAAAGTGAGAAATCTACCTCCAGGAGGGAATGACCATGCCACAATCCCTTCTCTTCTCAGGATTGTGAGCCCTGCTTGATTTTTCAAGCCACCAGGCCCAAGACTTGAACAGCAGTCGGGCACGTAGGAGTGCATAGCCCTAACGACCACACCGCCAGCTAGCCCCAGATACACTTATTTCTATCTTAGTAGCTAGCATAGAGACACCACTCAGAAATATTGGCTATTATCAAGATTTGAGTTTCTTGGGAACCAGCAGTTAGCGTAATGGCTATGTCGCTGGCCTCCCACGTAGTCGACCGCGGTTCGTGTCCTGGACCCGGTGGCTTAAGACTCACGCCGGGTGCGTGTGCGTGCGTGCCCAAGATCCCGAGAGGAGAATGGAGGAGAAGGGATTGCGGCGTGACCATCCCCCCTGGGGGGTGATTTCTCACTTTCTGTCTCTATGTCTCTCTCTGTCTGGCAAGCGCACGCGCCCTACAGTGAAAATCTCTCCAAAAAAAAAAAAAAAAGATTTGGGTTTCTTGGGCTGTCCCTGTAGCTTAATGGTTAAGGATGCCAAATCCCAAACGGCCAACTGAGGTTTGAATTCCAGCCCTGGTGGTGTGTCCCAAATCCCAACCAGATGGGGAAATGGAAAAGGGATCGTGGCATGGCCGTGCCCTATAGGGAGTACTTTCCCTCTGTCTCTGGTGAATTCATGTGCCCCTGGTAGTTAAACAAAAACCAAACAAGAAAGACTTGGGTTTATTCCCTTCCATTTTCCCTGTCAATCCTATGATCAAGCTCTGACTTCACCTAAACCACAAGAACCAAAAGTTCATTCTGCTCTTTCCCAGGTTCTAATAATTCCCCTCTGTTGTTATTTTAATACCTACATGGCTAGGAGATTCCCACTAATTTTTATTACATCACATTTACGGTCTTGGGCTAGCAGATGGCATACTGGTTACATCACTGGACTCCCACATGGCTGGCCAAGGTTCGAGTCCCAGACCTGGTGGCTTGAAACTCAGGCGGGGTGCATATGTGTGTGCGTGCCCAAGGTCCTAGGGAGAGAATGGAGGATGTGATTTCTCACTTTCCCTCTCACTGTCTCTGTCCCCACTCTCTTCAGCAAGCACGCATGCGTATGGAAAAAACACTCTTTAAAAAAACACTGTGGTCAGTGCTATGCACCGGGAACCAGAGCTCACACTGCTGAGGGTGGTCTAACTCCCAGCCCTGAAGGTTTGAAAACACAACTGGGTACACGTGTCCAATCCTGACGGCACCGAGAAACAGAAAACAGGACTGCAGCAAGGCCGTGCCCCACTGGGCATGCTCTGCCCACTCCCTCAGCTACATGACCTCTGACAATTTTTTAAAGGATTATTTTTATTTTAACTGTATTTATTTATGTTATTTTATTTTATTTGACCAGAGATAGACAGTGAGAGAGAGAGAGCGAGAGACAGAGCGACAAAGTGAGAAAGTAAGTCACCGGGCCTGGGACTTGAACTGTGGTTGGTCATGTGGGAACGTGGTGCCCTTAATCACCACGCCACCTGCCGACCCCAACCTGTTGACAATTTTTTAAATAAGTAGTCTTATGGGGCCAGCAGGTGGCATGGAGGTTAAGCCAGCTGGATGACCTGCACACTAGAGCAGCTTAAACACAGTGAGTGAGCGAGTGTGTGTGTGTGTGTGTGTGTGTGTGTGTGTGTCCCAAATCCCAAGAGAATAGAGAAGGGACTGTGGCCATCACCTGCGGGGAGGGGAAGGGATGTGATTTCTTACTGTCTGTCTGTCTGTCTCTCTCCATCTTTCTCTGGCAAGCACACGTGCCCAGTAGCATAAACAAAACGTATAGTCTCCATCTGGCTTTTAGATCTGAGTAAACCAGACCCAGGCAAACTGTACCTTTCTCCCCGCTCTATACAAGAGACAAAAACTCAGTGTTGTCATGAAAACCAAATGATCTGTCAGTGTCTCCAAGATATTCCCCAAATTCCTAGAACCCCACGTGGACAACCTTCAGAAAGGTCCGCCCGCCCAGTATGGAGAACAGGCCCCATCGGCTTGTGCTGGGCAGAAGGTTGGGCTCATCTCACAGACCCAAGTCACTTCCCAACCTTCCTATCCCTCCAACAGGTATCCCTCCCAATGCTCAGTGAGGCCCCCTGCTGGTGACTCACTCCCACCCCAAGTCCATGCTGACAAATACCTTGAACCTTGCTCCTCCCCACACACCCTTCACTGGACTTACTCAAGGCCCCAGCTTTACAAACTCATCACATAAATTCCCGTTCCACAGGTCTTCTTCATTACTCCAGTTTTCGTCTAACCCTACGTTAATGAAAACATAACACTAAAGAGAACATGTGTTGTCTATAACTTAAAGCTATTTTCTGCACGTGAAGGTGACACAAGGAAGACACGAGGTACAAAGGAGCAGCCAGGGCCAGTCAGCAATGCGTTCTGAGACTCCACGGCACACCTGAGAAGCCCAGGTACCTGTGACTCGGCAAAGCTAACTGCCCAGTAATTAACTCGTGACAGGAAGATGACCAGAGTGCCGAGAAGAGAAACTGGAGGGGCAAACTGGAGGCGAGGACACGAAGCTGAGAAGCAATGTCAGGGCGCATCTGAGTGAGAGCCAGGCAACCAAAACAGCATCAGGGTAAAGAGAATTCAAGATGACACCCCCTGTGAACACGGGTTTCCTGAAGATGACAGTGCAGGAGCCCATTTTTTGTTTTCTTTTTAAAATCTGCTATAGCGTACCTGAGCTTGCCAGGTTGGGGGTGGGGGGTGGAGGGAGAGAAGATCACCCCCTGGAGGTATGGCCATGCCACAATTCCTTATCCTCCACTGTCCTCTTGGGATTTGAGGCCTGCACACATGTGTATGATTTTTTTTTCAAGCCAGAGGAACCAGACCTTGAACCACACAGTTGGCAAGGTGGGATCCACCTGCCTAAACCATTAAGCCACCTGCCTGGCCCAGAGCCCAGATTTTTTTTTTTATAGAGCAACCTGATGTCAGCAAGAGATAAATCACATACTTCAACAGATTAATTCTACAGATAACTTTGTAAAATTACAAATAATCTTTTACAGGGGCTAGCAAATAGAGTGGTAGTTAAGGTGCTGGACTCCCACATGGCCGATGCAGTTCAAGTCTCAGACGTGGCAGCTTGAAAATCACACCGGGCACATGTGCATATGTGCCCAAAATCCCATGAGGAGAATGAAGAAGGGACTGAGGCATGACCACCCCCCTAGGGGGTGATTTCTCACTTTCCCTGACCGTCTTGTCTTGTGAGTACACGCATGCTAAACTTATAGTAGGCTCAGCAAAACAGTGACTTTAACACCCACAGGGTAAACAGATCATCTTTAACCTAGCAGTCTGACATGACGCTTGCTACAACACATACCAATAATGCAAAAAAAAAGCAATCTGTTTGTTCTCAGGAGAGATAAAAGGCACTAACTAGTTAAAGACAAAAATATCAACCCAACAATGCCAAAAACTCCTACCTCAACTGTTTCAACCGTCCACTCATCCACCTGCTCCTTCTCACCACTGCTGAACTGGGTCTCTGCCATGAATTGTCTGTTCACATACTGCAAAGCAAAGCAAACACCTGAGACCCCTGTCTGGAAGGCAGAAAGGCAACGACAGCATTCAACAACAGCCTACCTCCGTGGACTCGACTTCACTCTGCTCAGCGTACTCCTCGGCCGGCTCCGGTTCTAAAGGGGAAACGGGATGTTCTGGTCAGTGAAAGCACTCTGTGTGACAGCGTCACGGAGGCTGCGTGCCACACGTCCACCCGCAGCTGTGGGGTGTGTGAGCTCAGGGAAGGTGATGACACGCCGGTGCAAGCGCATCACGGTAGAGGCGCCCTCTGCGGGGTGTGGACAGGAAGGGAGGCTGCGCAGTGGTCAGGCTAGGGCACAGCACTCTACGCCTTCTGCTCGCCTTTGCTCTACAAGTTCGAAACAGTAAGCTGCATACAGAATCTCAATTTATTTACAAAGTGGCAGTTCACAGAAGTCCCTGTTCTTATCACTCTTACAGAAATATACACAGAGCTCTCTTTACCATTCTTACAGTAACTCCTTAGTTACAACAATTACTCTAGGTTAGGTGTAATATTCCATTAAAACTCTCTATTCTTAGAGACAGAATGAAGGGGAACACATTAAAATTTGTGTCCATTTTAATTTACCTCTTTTAAGTGGTAAGAGAGAAAAAAGTCTGCCTATGTGACCTGCAACTTTAAATTCAGACGATGCTTATTTCCCCTCCTAGTTCCCACAGTGATCACATACCCTGTGCCCTCCTAGTTCCCCGTGATCACGTACCCTGTGCCCTCCTAGTTCCCCCAGTGATCACATACCCTGTGCCCTCCTAGTTGCCCCAGTGATCACGTACCCTGTGCCCTCCTAGTTCCCCCCCAGTGATCACGTACCCTGTGCCCTCCTAGTTCCCCCACAGTGATCACGTACCCTGTGCCCTCCTAGTTCCCCACAGATCACGTACCCTGTGCCCTCCTAGTTCCCCACAGTGAACACATACCCTTGCCCTCTTAGTTCCCCACAGTGATCACGTACCCTATGTAGGAGAGCACTACAGACCGTTTCACATGGTGCTTGTGAACCGGGGAGCCTACCGGGGACAAGAGCCTCAGAGACTTGCCAGATGTCACACAGCAAGTGCGGGCTAGGCCGAGACCTGAACCCCGGGCCTGGGAGCCCAGACCTCTTGCCGTCAGTAGAGACTGTGTGCTCATCGTGCTTCCAGGTCCACCCAGAACTCCGCTCATCAACTGAGGAGGCCGTCGAGGTGACCAGAGCAAGGCTCTAGGCTTCACAACCAGGGTGGTGACAGGGGCTCCAAGGACCCTCCACGCCCCTGCCCTTCAAGAACTTAAGACATTACGGCATTATAATCTCCCCATGATTTAAATAACACAAAACCCCTCACACTACGCACAGCACGGTGGCGTGGTGAAGGGCAATGCTATCTGTGCGTGGCAGACAGCACTTTCTGACAACCACGACAGCGGAAGGCCTTTGCCCGCACGCCGGCCTGCACGCCGGCCCGCACGCAGCTGCCGGCGGACCTGGGCACCTGCGAGCACTGCTCTCGGTGGGCATCGTCCATTGTGGTACCAGGATCGAGTTTCTTTAAAAATTAGAATGTACACATGTAAAACCAACTTGGTGTGTAACTTAGGCTTGCGAAGAAGTAAGGCCAGTTCCCTTCCCCCTAGGAAGGTCGCATCCACCCAAGGACTCACCAGCTTCAGCTACCTGGTCTTCCGCTGCAGGTGCTGAGGCCGCCTCCTCGTCCTCACACAGTCCGTTCTGGTGGTTATGGGTGCTGTCAAAGTAGTTGGACTGGAAAACACGCTCCACAATTTCTTTCAAAGCTTTATCTTTTTTTAAAAAAAGAACATCAAGTGCGACGTTAGATAATCTGAAGACACCTGGCTTGAGAAAGTCAACATTCTACAAGATACTGTGGTTAAAAACAAAACAAAAGAACACACTTCTGCAACTGTTACTCAAACGCGCTATACATATACAGTCGATTAAATTTCACCAAGAACAGAAATGTCCTACAGGTGATAAGGAACAAGAACACATTTACATTGAACTATGTATTTTAAGTAAACGGTTAGAGAAGAAGCTGATAATTAACATTACCCCTTAAGTACTTTTTTCTTTAGCACCTGCTACATGTCAGTCAACATCCCAGGGACTGGCGGCTCGAAAGCCGAGTGAGGAGTCCCGGTAACTGCCCTCACCACATCCACAGGCCACCGGGCAGATACTGAACTGAAACACCATCCAGTACCCCCACCCCATGTGGATGTGCAGGGGCTGGACCCGGCCAGCAGAGACTGCAGGAGGCTTTGCCAGGGTAAGCACTGGCGGAGCCGAGATGCAGACGAACAGCCGAGGGGGGAGAAATGGTTCAACAGAGGAAACGGAGCGGAAAGTCTGATCTCTAGAAGGTACCAGATACAAGGATGCCGCTGGTGCTGGCATGCAGGAGGAAGAGAGAGCCCGGCAAAAGGCAGGGCTGGAGAAGCCAGAGACCACCAGACCACTGGCCTTGAAAAGGCACGGAAAATATAACGAAGAGGAGCAGTTAGAAGATTTAACAGGGAGGAAGAAGGCTGTGGATTCAGTTAAACAACTGCATTATTAGACAAGGAAAAGGCACAGAAGCAGAAGACAAAACAAAACAAGCTCAGGAGATAATTAAAAGGCAGACAGAGGGGACCAGCAGGTGGCATGGTGGTTAAGGTGCTGGACACTCCCACATGGCTGACCACGGTTCGAGTCCCGGACCTGGTGGTTTGCTTTCTCACTTCCTCTTTCTCTCTCTCTGTGTCTCTGTCAAATTAGAGATAAATGAATGAATAAATTTAAAAAAAATGGCAGACAGAAACTGGAAACATGGCGTGACAGGATAGAAAGAGTAAGTGGCGCCCTTCTCTGTCTCCTGGCCTTGCCGAGCAGATGGCTATTCCCCGATGGGTCCCTCAGAGCCCAGCTTCAGGTACCGTATCACGAACCGAGCACCCATTATGTCTGGGGCCACGAGTGCTTCCCAGTTCAGATCTTGTCCACACTGTGGAGTATTTGTGCGTTTACATGTAAGGCCTTGGAAGAAGGAGCCAAAGCGACATGCGATCCCTCTGCGCCTGTGCACCTGACGCATGTCCGGGGTGCTCCGCCGCAGCCCTGCTCTCAGCTCCCCTGGAGGCCGCAGGGCTGACGCTTGGACTCGGGAGCCTCTCTACTTAGGGCTCGACACCGGGGATGCCCCGTCTGCACTATGAAATCACCCTAACAAGTGTTCCCGGGAATTTCTTACATAACAAGCTCTTACGTACGGAGCGTGACGAAGCACTTTCTCCAAACGTCTGGATGGAAACTAAGCGCACATCAGCACTGACCTGGGCACGCCAGGCCGTCAGCTGTCAAGACACTACAGCCCCAAATGTGTGAACAGAGTTAGGGAGAAAGTATCCCCTAAATGAGATACGAATCATGTTCACGGAAATGTCTAAGGCTTAGCCTGAAACAACTTTTTAAGCTAATGCGCTTGTCTGCACCTTTCAATTAATTCCCAAAGTCAAACCCCAAATGGTGAATTTGATATTCTGTAGCAGAACTAAAAACAAAAACTAAAAAAACAAAGTTTATGAAGAAACAGACCATATTAATTTGACAAGAATGGCACCTCCTATCTGATTTACCCGTTTCCATAAAAGCAAATGCACTCCACACTTTACCAATTAAAATTAATAAGGTTTTGCCAATTAAAAAGTATAATCCAATTTATTTTTATTATAAACAAGGCATATTTTTACCTATGTTTTAAGTCTGCTTCACTAACTCGACCTCGTAACAATAGACAAGAATGGATCCCAAGTGACTGGGGCAGTGCAATCTGACCATCCTTCTCAAGGAATCGACACAGCTACATACTGGAGGTAAAGAGCTCACACATACGAAACAAAACAAGGTACCAGCATTTTTAGAAGAGAGAAACATTTAATACCCAAATTAGCTGAAGTCTAATTAAGACTAAAGAAGGACTGAGGTAATGACCAGGAGCAGATGTGAGACAGAATTTTGTTTGAGGGAGATTTTTACTATAGAGTATGTGTGCTTGCAGAAGAGGCAGAAAGCGAAAAATCGCCCCCCAGGGGGGATGGCCACACCACGATCCCTTCTCCCCTATTCTCCTCTCAGGATTTTCTGGGCATTTTTTGGACATGCACCCACATGCGCCTGGCTTTTTAAGCCACTGGGTCCAGGACTCGAACCACAGACGACTATGTGGGAGCCCAGCAACGTAACCATTATGCCATCTGCTAGTCCCAAAATATAACAAATATCTTAAAAAAAAAAAAAAAAAAAAAAAAAAAAAAAATTTGTGCCACAAGGAAAAACTAGCCACCCTCTGTACCAACAACTCTGGAAGCAGACCTGGTGCTCCTCTACCCACCTCCGAGAGCTCAGAGCTCAGCTCCACCTGAACACCCTGCCCAGTTCAATCTCCACCCTCAGTGTCCTGGCTGTCCCATTGGTGCTCTCACTCACACGCCACACACACCCAGGAGGAATAAGCCAGAGTACACGGCAGAGAAACCACGCCTGACACCGCGAAATCTCCTTCAATGAATCTTTTAAACAGTCTTATCCACAAACATGAAACTCTGGCACTCACAGGTCGTCCCGCACACGGACTTCTCCTTCCCTTCCAGCAAATCCCACAGGTGGACCGAGGCGTGCTCGTACTGCTCACTCAGCCTGCCGGCGACAAGGACAGTCAGTGTCACCGCTGGCAGCCAGCTCGGGGCGGCGTCGGAAGGGCCTCCCCGAGTGCCGTGTACCTCAGGCTCATGTCCCGCTCGGGGTCCGCCAACTTGTAGAACTCATCCAGCAAGCACAGCTCCTGCTCGGAGAGGACCGGCCCGCCGCTCAGCCCCCGTTTGAGGTCGGCCCGCACCTCGTCATCGCCTAGCTTGTCCAAGACGTACTGCAGCTCCAGCACCGTCTTCAGACGCTTCTGCTCAGCTTCTTCCCTCATCAGCTGCTCGCGACGAGCCGTCTTCTTTATTGTTTTTTGTATCTGCAAAATGCAGGACCACAGGACACTGAGAACGCCACCTCGGGTCCAGCGCAAACAACTCACTCAGTGAGACGGGACTGCAGCGCTCGAAAGCATGATTACCAGCTTGCAAATACACTTTCAGATATGATCTGTTTCAACAATTATTAAAAATTTAGGGGCCAGCTGGTGGTTCAGTGGTTAAGACGGTCAGATTTCACCTTTGCTGTCAGCACATGGCTGCCGGCACAGTTCGCGTCCTGGACCCGCAGGCTTGAGACGCACCAGGCACGTGTGCGTGTGTGCCCAAAATCCCCAAAGGAAGGAGATGCAGGAGAGGTTTGTGGCATGACCATCCTCCACAAGGAGCACGGTGCTTTTTGATTTTCTTTTCTCTCTCATCTATTTCCCTGGTCCCCTGACCCTCCACCCCGCAAGTGAAGGTGTACTCCAACACATTTTAAAACAGTAAAAATTAGAACATACATTTCCCTGGATGGTAATATACTACCGAACTAATATCAATTTAATATGTATTTGGGATCTGCTTCAAAATAATCAGTGGCTGGGGCCAGCAGGCGGCGTGGTGGTTAAGGTGCTGCACTCCCACAGCCAACCCTGGGTGGCCTGAGTACCAGACCTGGAGGCTTGTGCATCACATTGGGTGTGTGTGCACGTATGCCCAAACCCAAGCAGAAGGAACTGCGACACGGTCCCCCACACAGGAGAATGCCATCTCACTTTCCCTGTCCCTCTCCAGCAAGCACACATGCCCTGTGGCAAAAACCTTCAAAGGGGAGAAGGCCGCAGAGATGGACACAGGGAACAGATGGCTGCCCGTCAGACGGTAACCACGAGCAGGTGGGCAGAGGTGCACCGGACCCCATTCTTTAGCTCTGCACTGGCTCTGAGTCTTCCCCGGTAACTGTGGGATCCAGGGCCCAGAGCCCGCGGGAGCCGCAGTGGTGCTCTCCTTCCTCCCTCCCCGCTTTGCTCAGCCTCGCTGGAGGACCCAGACAGGAAACCAAAGCAGGAGCACGGGTGACGCCGCCACTGAAGGGAGAGGGGTGCGAGAGGCCGACGGCAAGAGATACTGTGACGCCGCAGCAACCCTCAGCAAGTGGGCTGTGGGGCAAGGACCGGTCCTCCGAGGTGGTCAGCGAGGCTTTTGGGGAGAAACGACACCTACTAGCACTGACAGCTGCTCGATCCTGGAGGTGAGGGTGCAGTCTGCGCAGGGAGGTCTTTATGGCAGTGCAGGCACAAGACAGAAGAGAAGCGGGTGTGAAAGGCAATCGAGAAAGCAGAGGGTAATGAAGCTACTCTGGGTGAAACGAGGCGTTCAGGGAGAAAGGAGGGCGAGGGCCAGGAGGCAGACTGGTGCGGCTGCAGCCCACGAGCACAGAACGAAACGTGTGCCACAGGGTCAGAGTTCAGTGCGAGCACTAAGGAGAGGGGGACCGGCAGTTCTGGCTACATGGCCAGCAGTGAGAGCTGTGGAAATAGGTGATGTTCAATTGCCTTGCTTCTGTGACCCCTGCCCCCCCCCAAAAAAGGAACCAAGCGTGGCTCACAAACGACTGAAGTTCCTACCTAGTGTCACACAAACCCCACCAGGCTGCTGTGATCTGAGAGGGTCCCCCAAATTCGTGCTGGAAACTTAACTCCCCAACACATCAGCACTGGGCAGTGAGGCCTCTCGGGGGAGGTGACGAGGCCTCCACACCATGGACACAGACGAGGGAACCCTGCTGTGCAGAAGCTCTCAAGGGGGAGCTCCTGGCATCTCCCTGCTGCTCTCCATCCTGAGGACGCAGTGCTCAGGTCCAGTGTCGGTACCATGACCTGGGATTGCTCGGTCCTCATCCCTTAGAAATCACCAGCTCAGGTAGTCACAGAAGCAGAAGGGACTGAGACGCGGGTGTAAATTAAGTCGCCTTCCCTGTTTTAGGCAAATGGTCAAAGCTTTCCTTAGTGAGATGTCACAGGAACATTAAGAGCTTAAAATGCACTAGCTACGTATCAATACTCCAAGCCGACCTTCTGAGATGAGGTAATGGGCTGTCAGAAAGTTAGGACACGTTTTTGCATAGATGAAAAGAAAAAATAAAATTAAGAAAAAGTCATGACTCCAGACAACCCAACAGTACCACCACTTTACAGGTCAGAGACAGGCACACTGGGCCAGGGAGGTGTGATCGCTAAGGTGCTGGACTCCACACGGTCGACCAGTTCCCAGCCCCAGACTGAGGCTTAGAAATCGTGCCACGTGTGTACACGTGCCCAGAACTGCGAGAGGAGAACGCAGAGAAGGGACTGCAGCACGGCCATCCCCCTGGGGGTGTTTTCTCATTTCCTCTGCCCCTGCTCCCCATGATAGCTCCCTATGGCAAAAACCTAAAAACAAAACAAAAAAAATCCACAGCTGAGGCACAGGCCAGCCCGTGGTGTAGTGGTTAAGGTGTCTGAATCCCACATGATCAACTGAGCGGCTTGAGTCCCAGACCCAGCCACTTGAAAAACACATGTGCGTGTGTGCCCAAGATCCTAAGAGGAGAATGGAGAAGGGATTGTGGTGTGGCCGCCCCCCTGCGGGCAGACTTTCCTATTCTCTTTCTGTGGCAAGGGCACATACCCTGTTACCAAAAATGAAACCCAGCCCCGCAAAAAATGAACAAGCCCTATGGTAACCTCTCCTCCTCCCTCTCCAGTCCACCCTGCTGGCTCCGTTTCTCTAGAAAACCTTGAGTGAAACAAGAACAGAGAAATTAAGTGACTCATCTGAAGTCACAACACCGTCAATTATAAGTGGTAGAATAAAGACTCAAGCCAGCCTGGTTCCAGAACCAGATCTTTTTAGCCCTGTACTATATTGCCGTTCAAAAATAAAATTGTTTTTCATTTCACTACATCAGAGGCAGCTTTATATTTTAATGTTATAACCATTTCTTTGAATAAGTTGACACACACTCAGAAAGTGTAATTTTCTAATCCCAAATATTGTTCAATCTGCTTACATTTAATTAGTGTCCTATTCCAAAACGCACATGCACATTAAAAGGTATGGGGTCAGACAGCAGCACAGTAACACACAGAGCAGACCCAAGACCTCCCTAAGCAAACCGAGCACGTCTGCGCCCACTTCTGGGCCAGGTAAAGCGGGCGGCAGCATCAGGACCTGGTAGGGGTTTTCTCCCTCTCTGACTTACCTATTTTTTAAATATATAAATTAATTTTTTTTTTCTTTAAAAGGTGTCCAGGAAAAGCCACCACTCTGTTGGACCTCAGGTTATTGAGAGCGACGTATCGGCCTGCATACCCTACTGGAGAACTGTGTGGAAGCACCTCATTATCTGAGAGCTAACAGAACTGCAAGATGACCATTAGGCGTAGAGGGCCGGGAAGAGAATGAACGCCGGGACCGGCTGATGGCGTAATGGTTATGGTGCTGGACTTCCACATAGTCGATGTAGCCGTTCGAGCCCAGGACTTGGCAGCTTAAAACTCGTGCACGCGTGTGCATGTGTGCAAAGAATGGAGAAGGTACTGAGGCGAGGCCAGCTCCCCCAGGGGGATTTCTCACTTCTGTCTCTCCGGCAAGTGCACGTGCCTTATAGCAAAAATCTCTCATAAGAAAAAAAAAAAAAAGGAAATGAATACCTACCAAGCCCATCCACATCCCGCACAGCTCATTTCTAGCCAATGAGATCTCTGGGTAACTTACACACGCCTCCACCTCACGGCAGCCCCAGGAGGAGACATCTCTCGGGTGTTACTAAGCTTTGCTCAGAGGCGTATTAGGTGTCACCTAATCAAATTCCCCACTTGGCAGAGCACATACCAACAGTAACAAGTCTAACACAGGGAGACGCAAAATTTCCTAGCCCTGTTAGCTCACAAACACGTTCCACCTTTAACTTACGTCTTGACTCAGTGCCATGAAACTCCTCTGTAATTCTTTTGCAAACTCCAAGTTATTTGTGACTTCCTGGTACTTCGACACTGCGTCCTAAAATATAAGAAACAGCATCCAATTTGCACAACGAACCACAAAGCAATCTTATTGAAAACAGTGAGCATCCAACTCCAGTAAAAGGCACCAGGGTTACCAGCTGATCTTGGTTGAGCCTCTCTCCTTTGTTCATCCGTTCCTGGTAATCGTCGAGCTTACCCTATAAAAAAGAAAGAATCCGAGTCCACATTGAAGGTACACACCAGTTTTGTCATCTCGATGTCACGGCAATGACAAAACTCACCAAGTCTGTCCCAGAACCTTTCTTAAATATATATCCCTAGGTATATTCCCGTTCACGTCGGTATACTGAAGTGAGCCAGTGAGTTTACGGAACAGCGAGCTCAGGCACTCACTGGCGACCGATGTCGACGCCACACCGTGTGGCAGACACCACTGCTTGCTCCCAGGGGAGACACCCACCAGACGGGCTTGGCGGGTGGTTCCCTCCCACATGACACAGCCTACAAGTGGGTGAAGGTCTGGCGTAGACCTGGGTGAGCACATCAGACTTCTAAAAGGTTCCATGTTTGCCTCTCTCCCCGCCCGCCTCCTGTGCAGTCTATCCCCTCTGAATGAGCCCACAGGCGTACTGCCTTCGATGGCGCTCCCTCCGCGTGCCTTGTGATGAGACCCCGACTGCCAAGCTACCGCGTCCCCAGCAGCCCGGACACTCTCGCCACGCCTGCTCCGTGAGGGGGACAGGAAACTAACCTGTGTTAAAGACCACCTGTTTCTGTGGCTAGGATGAAATGCTCCTATCAGGTAAGACCCAGAGGGAAGACTTCAGGTAACCCAGAGTCAGGAACTCAGTTACTGTGTAAGGGTTGCAACGGGAAATAACTGGAATCTAAATACTTAAAACTAATCCCAATAAACCTGAACGAATACAGTCCCTCACCACTAATAAATTAAGCAAGCACAAAGTTCTGATGAAGCGCGTCCAGTGCCGCAGAAGCAAAGGCAGTAAGGTTTTAGGTCAGATGAAGCCTTTCCTTTGTGTCAGAAACAAGTCGACCTGCGTGAACATTCTTCCTTAAGATGAAAAGCCCACCTTTACAACGGAGGTTAGCAAATGGAGATGATCAGTGCAACGGTGAAGGTGCGTAAAGGATCCCATTTTATTTCTGGATGGACTATTCCACACAAGAGCAGGCTTCGCCACCAGGCCATGGACCCCCGCGTGGGAACACTGTCAGAACTGACAGAGGCCATCCACGCTCTGCACAGGAGCACGCTCTGCACAGGAGCACGCACTGCACCGGCTCTGAGCCCGGTGGCTGAGGCGACTGGCCCACAGGGTTAAGTCCCCGAACACAGTGACTTGAAAAGCACATTGGGTACACAAGTGTGAGCGCCCAAAGTCCCAGAAAGAGAAAGAGAGGGGACTGCAGTCACTACCCCATGAGAAGTTTTCTCCTCTGGCTCTGTCTTCTGTTTCTCTCTGGCAAAGGAAGACAAAACAAAACAAAAACATACTTTCCTTTAGGAAATAAAAACGAAACTAGGTTTTAATATGAGACGATAGTCCAAAACTATAGTATTATAGTCACGATACCCCTGCTCAGAATTACATGGGTAACAATAGATGTGCAAACAGGAAAAGGGTCTAAAATTCAGTGCTAGTACACAGTTAAAATTCTCAGTGGGGGCCAGCAGGTGGCGTGGTGCTGTGATGCTGGACTCCCACATGGCTGACCATGGTTCAAGCCTGGTGGCTTGCTTTCTTACCTTCCCTTTCTCTCCCTTGGTCTCCCTCAAGCCAAACTTTAAAAAATAAATAATAGCAAATAAAAACAAATCATTATTTTTGGGGACCAACAGTTAGCGTAATGGCTATGTCACTGGACTCCCATGTAGTCGACCGCAGTTCAAGTCTCGGACCTGGTGGCTTAAACTCATGCCAGGCGCATGTGTGTGCGTGCCCAAGATCCAGAGAGGAGAATGGAGAAGGGATTGTGGTGTGGCCATACCCCCTGGGGGGTGATTTCTCACTTTCTGTCTCTCTGCCTCTCTCTTTCTGGCCAGCACATGCGCCCTATAGCGAAAACCTCTCCCAAGAAAAAGAAAAAAATTATTATTTTTTCAAAATCCGAATTATGACAAGGCAAAAGAAAAAGTATTTGCTTGTACCTGGCACTTACTACCTTCCTTTTTTCCTACGCCATTACATGTTCTTTCCAGGGACCTGCTGTCACATCTAGAAACATGTATGCAGTAGGTGTGAGTCTACCATTCTGTAGGCTCACATGCCTAATCAGAGCAGACGTCAACCCAAAACCCAAACACAGGCTTGTGCATGTGTGAAAATAAGTATGAAAAGATAAACAGAACGACACCTGAGTGGCAGCATTGTAAGTGGAACTTTTACTTTGTTTTATGCACTTACATACTATGTGATGAATAGTTTGTTTAATAAAAATTAGAATCTCGTGCTCCATACAAGATGGAAAGCTCAGCTGACCACCTTTAGGGTCCTGTTGGAACGTTCACTTACTCAGAGCATAGGAAAAAATGCTCAACATCCCTCATTGTAAGGGAGATGCAGATCAAAACCACAGTGAGGTACCACCTAACCCCAGTCAGTGAAGATTAAAAAAAATAATAATGATAAGCACTGGAGGGGATGTGGTGAAAGGGGAGCACCCCTACACTACTGGTGGGAAGGTAAATTGGCCCAGACACTGCGGAGAACAATATGGAGGTTCCTCAAAGACCTTCAAACAGAACTACCATATGATCCAGCAATTCCATCCTGGGTATCTACCCAAAGGACAGGACACGCAGTCAGAAAAGCGCTTCCACATCTATATTCAGTGTAGTCTTATTCACAATTGCTAACACGGAACCAACCCTAATGTCCACAGAGATGAATGGATTGAAAAAGCGTGGCACATATACTCCACGGAATACTACTCAGCCATAAAAAACGAGGCCCTGGAATTTGACAGGAAGTGGACAGATATGGAAGATTTGTTGCTGAGTGAAGGAAGTCAGGCTGAGAGACACTGCAAGTCTCCACTTTACATACACTGTCCGCACTCTATGGTAGAGACTGAAAGACTGGAGAACGTAAAAGTATTAAAAATTGTAATGGACACTAGGGACAAAGTGGAGAGACAGTGGGAGGGGAAGAGCGAGGGAAAGGAAACCTGGGGGGAGAATGGAGAGAGAAGACACTTGTGAGACACAGGTAAGATTTTTTATGTTGACGAGGCTGTGTGTGGTCTCAGCTGGGCTGGACTGAGGTGTATATCATGCTGGTAAAGCCTCTCCACAATCTAAATGATGGATAGCGATTTAATGTATGAATAATTTTAAAAATTAATTAAAAAAAAGACACCCCCCCCCAAAAAAGAACTTTAACTTACAGCAACTCTTAAACCTACACTGTGCTGTAGCAGAAGCGACCTAAGGCAGAAAGCTCCAATTTGCTACTCATGAGCTAATTCGTCTTTACCCAGCCCGGTATGGCACAGTCCACTTCCAAGACAGCTGTCACTCACACCCGCAGCCTTGGCACTCCCATGGCCGGGCGATGCGTCTGCACCTTGTCTTCTGGTCACCGAGTCCCTGGTGCGGAGCCCGGGCCACCACTCAAGCCCCGGAGCCCTACGGCTGTCGTGCTGCACGGACACCTCGGCGTGGAGAAAGGGCTCCATAAGGTCTCAGGTCCACAAGTCCAGTGCTCCAGGCGGCCCAGCCGTATCTGAGGGCCCGTGAGGGAACAGGTCTTACCGCAGTCCTCCCAGCCCTGCTGGGTCGCATGGGACAGACATCAACCCTGCTGCGCCCTGCCTAATCTGACAGGCAGAGTCCGTGAGCAAAACAAGAGTGCTGGTCGTTAAGCCCTTAAATTCTGCATTAGCCTGTCACACAGCAATACCTGGAACAAGTGTAAGTGATATGAAAAGAAAGGCAAAGCCGCTCTGTGGAACTCGGCTTCACAAGACATGTTCCACAGAACACCGCCTCACAGAAAGCATGCCCCCCCAGAACTCTGCAGCACGCCAGAGACCTCTGCATCGTACAAAGGGGCCTTTACTGGTTCTGTAGTATCCACGTGCTCCCCACTTTCTAATCCACGATCATTTAAGAGCTGTGATTCTAAAGGGAGAGGTCCACTACTGACTTACTAGAAGCTAGCTTCCTGAAGGGAAGCCCCAACTGGACATCCCCAAGTCCCTAACAGGCAGGCACACCAGGGCCTCCCCAGCTCCTGACGGAGCTCAGGTCTTCCGCGGCCGCGCTGGCCAGGCTTCCTACACTACTGCTCTAGGTACCTGATGTCTTGTCTGCGCCCCGACTTCAGGAGAGCAGGATCCTGGTCTAAATGGTAAGGAACAGCACTCACTTGAGAAAATACCAGAACTCACTGCTGAAGCTGCAGAATGACAACACAGAACTGCTTCCCAGGAAGGGCTCTTGTTTGTCCAACACGCCCTCCGGACTGCTATGGTGTGCACGGGACTTGCCAGGCACGGCGTCCCCTCCGCTCACTGCTGTCTAAGATCGGGGCTCAGGCACCCACAGGCCTACAGAGTCCATGGCTCTGGGAGAGGCCCAGCCATCAAGCCCTCTGGGTGAGCCCAGTGCACACTTCCTTGGGCAACATTCATCTAGGGTACATGCACGTGATTCCCCTACAACGGCAAGTCCGGAGGGCAGAAAGTACTCAAACACACGACACAACTTGTGACCTCGAAAACCATTAAAGCAGTCTCAATTTGGAAACAGGTTGTTAAAAGGTTCCGCCTTAAACCGGAAAACGTGTTGAATGGTAACTCCGATTCCATTGAAGCTTACAGAGCTACTTCATCTAGCAACTACTACATAAGAAAAAAATCCCACTTAGGACCAGAACACTGAAGAGTTACCACCTTCCATTCCTAAGAAGTAATTCTGTCAACTCTTGCACTGTGAGCTGCCTCCCCTATCTTAAGAGCACTTTATGGTTAAACTGACAAATGCCAAAATTTGCACTAGACACGGAAAGCTCCTGAGGACAATCTATGGATCTAATTTTCAAACTCTCCAAAATGCAAGTCATTTCCACAGTCTGCCACCCCAGCTTGCTCCCAAGCAGCCTTGGGTGATGCGAGAGACAGTGGGCCAACAGGTAGCATGGTAATCAAGGAGGCTGGATCCCACACGACCAAC